ACACAGTTCTCTTGACTAGATGAGTCTTCTAATCACACACTACAATTAAAGTAACTAACGTGAAAGAAAAAAGAAAGACCCCCTCCTCCGCATTTTTTTTAAAAGGGCAATGATACTATCTGTTCCCATTTTAACCTATCCAACCCTGGAAGTTACTCAATAAAGCACTACTGACAAAGGCAAGAAGAAATGAATTGCTTGTAAAACAAAATCTGAAATAACAACAAGAACAGCCAAACAAAAGAGAAATGTCATGGTATTTAGCCATCTGGTAGCAACCTGAAAACAAATTGTCCTCCAAAGAGCAGAAATACAGTATGTTTTCTCAGTTCACTGGCTTATGAATCAAGCCCCTCCCATTTTTTAAAGCAGATTAGCTAATGTTTGCAGATTATCCAGTAACAAACTTTTACATATATACCTGATTCAAATAACAACTTAATGTGTAGGCTGTCTGTTCCTTCCCTGCTCTGTGTTTTGGATATATCTGTAAAACCCACTTAAAATTTTCTGGATTTCCTGTCTTCCTGACTTGCTTTAAGTTTCACTGATCTTCAAATATTTAAATTGTTCATTTTATAAGCCTAGTCATTAAAAGGGAAGATGGCAACTAAGGCAGTCATTTTTCTTCCCATTTACAATTGGTGACATTTCTCCAGCAGTGCACAAGGTGTTGAAAACCTGGCAGCTGTTACCTCCTGGGACGGAGCTCCTTTTTTATCCTCCTCTTGACAGTTTAACTCAATGGGTCAGCACCTTTAAAGACAGCAAAGTATCACTGAAGTGGATGGCTAGAGTTGAATTACTGCACCCTCCCTAATCAATGGAAACCCTCACTGCAGGTGAAACTCTTCATCTATAGAGGTGCATGGGGGAGGAAAATGTAATGCCTTAAGCCAGATGGGTTTCATCTTGTGGTGTGTGATTTTTGCTTTGTTTTTCTTTTCTTTTTTTTTGAAAGAATGGAACAAGCTAACAAGCGGACAGATACTTTGTTAGCTCCTTGGCCTCTCTCATGGCTCTGAGGCCCCAGGGTTCCAGCCACACAAGAGAAAAGAATTCAGCATACACGTAAACACTTAAAGAAATATAACTAGGGAGATGGCAGCATGCTGTTTTCAAAGAGTTGAGAGTCCTGTTCACAGCTTTATTTATCACTATGCACGTTCAGTAGGCTGTAAGTGGACACAGAAACAAAAGGTCAGAAGAATAGGCAATGCTAGACATTTACTCCCTTACAGAGGAATGCAGAAAAGCAGCACATCTGACAGACATGATTAGTATTAAAATAGAAAAGCAACGCAAGTGGACTTTATGTTGCAGGATAATACCTTTGGCAGCAGCCTTGGATTCCTGTTTAATTAATATATAGGTTAACACTTTAAGTGCAAAAGAAAAAAACTGAAGAGGAGACCGACTATTAATTGGGAGCAGGGCAGGATGCACAAATACATTATGAACACTTTAAAAAACCTTGCTGGTCACTTTTTCTTAAGGTTAAAGATCAGGTTGAATCAATCTTATGTTGATTTTTCCCTCACTCAATTTAGGTAACTATGAGATGATGTCTTTTTAGATTGTCTTTTCTTCATAGGGCCTGCCCAAGGTTGTAAACATCCTATGGTTGGACTCAGCAGTTTTTCTATTTTCCCTACAATAATATCAGAGGCCTTGTAAGTCCTCCAAAACCTCTGAATATTGCAGCCAGAGAACGCAATGCAAAACTGCTGAAATGGCTTACAAAAATGCTGTGACAGGAAGGTGTAGAACAGTGTTTCTCAATCTCAGCAACTTTAAGATGTGTGGACTTCAACTCCCAGAATTTCCCAGCCAGCCATTCTGGCTACAGAATTCTGGGAGTTGAGGTCCACACATCTTAAAGTTGCTGAGATTGAGAAACATTGGTGTAGAAGGAGGGAACACCATTTTAGTGACAGGGAGACAGGGATGGCTGCCTCACTTTTATTCTGTCTGGAAGCTCTGCACTTCAATGCAAAAACTGCCATGCATATCATTTCAGTGCTGCTGCTATCAGCACTTCCCCCACATGGCACCTTTTGACACAATTTCCTCTCTGCAAAGAATCTCCCAACTCCCCCCACAGAGCAAGTTTTGACAAGAAAAAGATACTTCATTAATACCCCATTTGAGCAAAGGAGAGTAGCTTTCCTTAAACAACCTGTGCTGGGCCAATCTTTTCAAAAAGGCAGGAGAGTAATCAAGTTCAGGGCAGCCCTGGACAGCTGCCCTGTGACCTAGGCCTGCTGACCTTTGCTATTCATCACTTTCCTTTAGAGTAGGAGGGCAGACTCTTGGGGAGTGACCGCACAATAGACAGATACAATCCAACAATAATATGGCGCTTGCAAAAAGAAGGAGAAAACCCAGATGGTATTGCAATAAATTTACAAATCTTCATTCATGGCTCTCTTTAACACACCCCAAAGCCAAAAGGCTCAAAGGTCCCTGGAGAGATTCCCCCTCATTGCTTTCTAAAGGCTAGCTCTTTTTCAAGGCTAGTAAGACTCAATTCTTCACAGAGGCAAAGCCCTTAAAATAATAAATGCTTGACCTAATCAATCTACCATTCAGATCCAACATTAAATGATGGGTACTGAAAACTAATTATGTTTTTGGCAAGAATGTTGAATTTAAAATAGAAACACACAGGTTAAAAAGGCACTGAAGCATTTGAGAGGCTCTTTCAAAACGGCTGCACACATGCATAAAACAGGATTCAAACCAGGAGCTTCATTCAATAATTCACACATTTATTTTTAAAATGAATCAGATTAGTCCCATGTGTGACCTGCTGGTCCATCTGTATTCACTGGACTTAATGGGCATTCTTTTCACACTAGCTTCAGTTTGAAGTATGAGAGAGATAAATTTAGTTTAATTTTCAACAGATCAAGCTATCCATTTTCCAAACAGACCATCTGGATCAGCCTATTAAAATTAATTTATAACTTAGCAGAGAAAGCATTGTTTGTTAGCTAAACATAGTTGCCAAAAACTTTGGTCCCTTGTCATTGTTTTCTAAAACTTCATACACACATGCAATACCAAATCATATGTTGCATGCATGTAGAAAGTTTTTATCCCAAATCTTCCCCCACAGAAAAGCTACATATATTTTCCTCTTTCTACTTTTAAACTGTTGTTTCTCTCTCCTGATGCCTTCTATTCAAGAGAAAGTGAAAACATCAAAATGAAGTCCCTCATATACTATCTTTCAACTTTTAATGATGTTAATGCATGATGAGCAATGATAACTCTTGCTAGAGCCCACTTAATGTTCACTAGGATCCTTGTGACTAATCTAATTCCTCTATTATTCATGCCTTTATCATTGTGGATCAGACATTGGTGATGACTTTCCACATTATTTAATTGCTCCTCAATGCAAGGAAAATATTTTATTTGACTTGATGAAGGGATTAGCTATTTGATCAGTCTCCCAGAAGAGTTTGTGTAGGTTTGTTTTGTTTTGCTTTTTAACAAGGATCTCAACATTTTGTGAAGTGTAGCATTTTTAAATGGTTCCAATAGAAGAGAATATATGTAGTTCAGAGTTGAACTGTGGACTCCTTGGTGCTCTCTGAGCACTGATGATGTTACCTAGTTGGATAATGAAATGTCTGCAAGCAAACAACCAAGCTCAGAAAGCACCAAGGATTCCACATTTTTAAATGGCTCTAACTAAGGGAAAAGCCATATTTTACAGAGCTGATGTAAAGAATATATTGAATAACTTTGGTAGTCAGGGTTATTGACTATATTTTTAAAACATGTTATTGCTAGATTAGCTTGGGGTGGGCAATCTGTGGACTTCCAGCTCCTAGCAGCACCAACTGCACAGCAAAATCTCTGGCAAGAATACTGTGATTATTTGTAAAAAATAAGGGACAAAATAAGTGTGTTAATTCTCCACATGGGTTAATACAGTTTGCCACTTGATATTTCCCACAAAACGCGCAACAGCAACAGCATCAATATACTGACAATAACAGTTGTCTGTCCCTAATTAACTAATAGTTGTAACGCAAACAGAACACTCTCCTTTCTATACTGCAACAGAGTCCTGAGCAAAGAACTTAATATACATCCCATCTATGACCTAGAAGAAAGTATAATTATTTTTCCTAAAAGAACAACATGCTTCTTTACTCCTCCTAGATCACTGCCTCTCAGAGAGATAGCCTGTAGGTCAAATTAAATTAACCTTACTATTCCAAACAGTCCAGTCAAATCGTAATTTTATTTTCATGCAGTCCAGAAATTTCTCAATAGCACTCTGCCAGTAGTAGGTATGCGGCCTCACTGAACAGTATGTTGCTATGTATGAAACTGTAACACAGTAATTGAAGATTAGTAATTGAAGATTAAGAATATGGCATAACTATAGATAACCTCCATGTCTACACTGAGTGCATTAGGCTCACTTAACTTCCCTTCTCATTGAATTCAAATTGGGACCAGAAATATAAGTGACATTTTACTCTGATTTACCTTTATTCAATATATTGAATAATTGAATGCTAATGATTTGTTTACTTGAACTTTTGTCTGAGGTAATCTCGCTGTTTCCTAAGAGGTCAAATAGATTACAGAAGTCTGAATGGCTATGTTAAACATAAGATGGGAGCCTATTGCCAGATGATACCAGCAAAGAAAATGACTACATTATCTGTCTGATACACAAGAGACTGCTTGATAGACATTACTGAACCAGGTTAAGATCCACAGGTAACAGCTTCCAGACTGAAAAAATATATAAAGATTGTAGGTTATTTAGATATAGATTAGTCCCTAAAGGTTAACTTCTGAAGAGTGCAGAATAGCTTCAAAATTAACATAATTTTTCAGTTTAAAAAGTTGGAGCAAAATCATGTCTATTTTTATTTTGTATCTTTTTACATTCTAAGGTAGGTCAGATAATCCTATCTGTTTCAAGTAAAGAGGTGGATGGTATTTGTGGGTTTGAATCAATTGCATACCTGCCTAAGTGCATTCTTCTCGGGAATGATCTTTCTGGGAGGTTCATCATTATTACAATCTTCTCTTTCAGAGGAAGTCTATCCAGAAAAGAAAAAGAAAAAAATAATATTAGTACAAGTATTCCATTAAGGCAGTTACCTATATAATTAAACAAGCATTTATAATACAGGTAGTCCTTGTTTAGCAACCACAATTGGTTTCAGTGACATGGTCGCTAAGCAAATCGTGTGACTGAAAGAGATGCTGCGAAGATCACTGGTTGCTGCCGCCTCATTTAGATAAAGTTCCCTCATGCAGTAATGCTAGTGTTACTCTCGCACTGGTGTGCATTGTTGTCAGGTGCAGAAATTTGGGCACAGGTGTGTGCATTGGTCAGAAAATGATTTTTTTACTACCATTTATTACTGTCATATTTACAAACGGTTGCTTAACAAGGGAATTGCTAAACGAGGACTACCTGTATTGCAAATCAGAAATGGTGTATTCCAGTTTTCTATTTCATACTTCTACAATGGAGAATACTGATTCTTCTACATAACTGGTATCCCTTACCCTGTGACAGTACAGGATTTAATACATTGAGACCTCTATTGTGAAATTTAAATTAATGTAACAAAATGGGCATCCTATAAAACAGAGGTTGGCATTTTTTGTAGCATTTGTGTGGCTCACAGTCCAGTTTTTCTGTTCAGCTGAATGGCAGAGCACCTACCTGCCTTTTATTTTATTTTGCATAAAATAAAATAAAACATACCTGTTTTCTGATAAAATTCCAGTTCCATCCCTACAGGTGATATTATAGTGTCATCACCCCAAACCATGAAGCCCTCAGTAGGCAAAATAATAACCATTTCAAAAAGTAAACCTCTTGTTTGTTATGCAACCCACTACAGATACCTACAATTCTCTATGCTTCCACTGCCTCTGTCAATGTAGTCATTAACATGCAACTGCTACCAGGACTGCTCTGACCTTGGCATTATTAGAGCAGCTAGTAGGAAAGATCATAGAAGTTTCTCAAAACAGATAGTAAAACTGTCACTTTAGACTTGCACATATTACCAGGTGTTCAGAGATGCCTCTATGATCAACCTTAGAGGCCTCTCAGCTGCTACCACTGATAATACTACTGTGATTGTAGCAATAACAATTATATTATTGATAATTATAATAATGAAGATGATGAAAACAATAGTAGCACTTATTATAACAATATAAATTATTATGCGTCTCAGTTTTGGTCCTTGCCCATTTTTCTGCTCTTATCCCACCCTCCTCTGAGGATAGAGCACCTGGCACTATGTTGAACACTGAATGTTATTTTAGTACTGTCTTACTCTGACTGACACCAGCTGTACCCAGTTCTTACCTAGCCCTGCCACCTGTGATTCTTTTAAGAGAATATGCCACGGACTGAATCAACAGATGTTTTACCATTTAGCTTCTGTCCTTCTCCACCATGATATTGAGATGATGACCATATGATTATTTCTAGTCACCTCTTTCCTAGCAGCAAATGTTTGTTGTCTACATGATACTGAAAAGCCATGGACAATTAATTATAATTAACTTTATTATGCTAATTGTGTTTAATAATTTGAGAAACTACATTTTTAAATGTTGATTGTAGTTCTGGTGGCTAAAGGTAAGATAAAAATGTTTGTAAATAACTAAAGTGCATACTAGTTTTTGATTGCATTAAAAAAATAAAATATTCCTACCCAAAACACTCGTTTGGACAAAACCAAATTGGGAAAAAGCAGAGAAGTCTTATAAAGAATGTCTGAAAAGGAAAGACTACAAAACATACTGCCTCAGTTGTGATTCTTATATTTCTAAGAAAGATCTTAAGTCAGAAGAAAAGTGACTGCTGACATCATTCCATAAACATAGAAAATATGGGAAAGAAGGAATCAGATAACAAGATATAAATGATGGAAGGAAATTTATACACTACATTTTTAGGCTGATATTATAATATTAAAGTAGCTCGGATTTTTTTAAAAAAATTTTTTTTGGATCCCATTTTGCTTTGATTTCCTTCTAGGTTATATTACCAAGGGCCCTGGAATTCTATTGCCTTTATGTTGCCCACCCCAACATGCTTGAAGTTTACCAATTTCTTCTTGAAACTAAACAGCTAATTTGAAGCCTTTGTTTTATTCATTATCTTTATAGGTGGCAAGACTAAGAGGTTGGCTGAACAAAGACCAGACAATGACTGCCAAGTGCATATGGTGGCTCACAGCTTGCCGTCACCCCATTCTACTGCACCAACACAGCAGACTATTAAAGAGGAGCGCTGCTCATGCACTTTTGTCAGCAAGTTAAGTTACGCTTGGCAAAGGCTGAAAAACTGGAAAACATTAAGCTCTGTAACAGCAGCAAAGATGGAACTCATTGCTTAGAAACTGGAAATCTTAGTGGACAACAAGCCTTAGAACATTTCTGAAATATAGTTTGTATCATAACCAATTCCAAAACAGAATGTTATTTTCAAATGCAAGTTGTCTTTTAGCTCTGTTACACATCTTAAAAGTAGAACAGATATGCACATCTGTGGTCAACACTTTCCATTGAATTGCTTATTGACTTTCTATAGCAATTTTAGAGGCCAGGTCTAGATTTCTGATTCAGCAAGATGATTATTCTCTAAAGACCAAAAATTAAAGAAATTGATGCTACCCTCTACGCTGCTAACCAATAAAGAGATGTTTGCAATGAAGCTCAATGAAGTTCAAAAACTGTGATTACATTATACATTAAATACTCCTGTTGCTAAAGCTTTCTTCATTTCAAACATGCAATTTAGATAGAAAAAAGTCACTTTATTTCTACTGTTAAACAATTGGAAATCAATCAAAATATATCAAAGGTATATTTTCTCTGATGTATGGATTATACGACACCAAAGATTATCAATTCTTTTGAGTTCAGTTTACCATATAATATCTGCCCTCTTGCTATTTTCACCCACACTTAACAATTCAGAAAGAAAAAAGAGAAAAATGGCAACAATCATGTAATGATTACAATCCCACATGACATCAATGTTCTGAATTATTCTATAATTGCTAAATGATACTCAAGAAGGTAGTGAGATGGTGTGGATGATCTCATATTATCTTTACCTGCTTTAAGGAAGGCTTGGATATGTAACATAACCATAAGAAAAACAGAGAGGAATGATTAACTTATCTAGCCTCTCTCCTTGGAAATTTTATATTCTGATTTCAACCCTGACATGCAAGATTAAAGATAAGAAACCATCAGAAAATTTAAAGGAAGCTAAATATGCGAGTGAAGTATGAGATCTTCATTCTTATTTCAATAAGCAGGCAATACTTAAATTACTACTTGCAGAGTTTCTTTTTAGTGATGCTGACATAACAGGAACAGGTTTTTGAGTAATCTGTGTGGAAATACTTCACCCTGAACACAACAAATTTGCCTGGCATGCAACCACCCCAATAACCACTGTATGCAGTTCCCTCATGAAATTCACTCAAACCTCTCCAAAACGTCCCTCCACAGTTATATTGAAGAATCTAAATGTGATAATGCAAATTGTTGCACTAAATCCATCTGCTGGAATCAGATGCAATGGATGGATAAAAGCATTTTAGATTATCAAGTGAAGAGAACCACCTTTAAGAATGCCTCGTCTCAAGCAATAATCTTGCCAATGGAGGTGTTGGATTTTTTTCCTGAGGGTGGAAAAAGTGGAGGCTTGCACATGTCAGCACTATTAATAAAACCATACAGATGCAGCACTTTTTAAAAAGTCTATCTGTGTATGAAAGCAAGAAACTATGTATATGCAGAGAGCACTTCTTTATGCTTTCAAATCCTTAATCCTGTTTGGAACTGTCAGTGGGGGTTAATGGAAGCTTTGGATAAGAGAATTCCAATCTGGTTGGCAGATGGATAGGTTGGTTATAGCTGCATAACTATGTCTTGCCTACAGGCACAATTCAGAACACTGTTAAAGCAATATAAAGTCGCTGTCAAGCTGAACCATTTGGATCGGTAGCAAGGAGAAATAATAATAAAAGGAGTTCATTTCTGGGCCTCGTGTATTCACGCTACTATGCAGAAACTGATTAATTGTCGTCATGTGCTGGTCGGCTGCACCTCAGATTCCTACTTCTGGAGTAGATTTTGCATGCTAATATAATCATTTCCCCTCTTGAGACATTAGCAAATAATCAAATGAAAAACTGGATCATAATTTACTGAGATTCAGGCAATTCTCTATGCAAATTTGACTTGTTATTGCTGCTGCCTCGTTAATCTGAATGCCTTTGACAAACTCCTTTGATTTATGAACTCATGACAACTCCAATGTGTATATATTTTGCTAGATTGACATTATCATTAAGAGTGGGTGGACTGAGCTCATATGAATGGCTGATTTTATTCGCTGGTGTCGGCTGCTCAACAGCTGAGCATCTCCTTTGCACAAAGCCCCCAAGCACAAGGCTCTTCCCATCTACCCATCCATTCATCATCTCGATGTTAATTGGCCCAGGCTTTAAGCAAATTTTCAACACGATTTAAAGGCATGATGACACTGATTACTGACCCTCTGCCATACGGTGTCTATTGATTAACCTGACAGAGAGGATGAGCTTGAGGGGAAGTAGGTGTGTGGGGATTTCAAAAGGATGGAGATATAGATATAGATATATAGATATATTCATTCACATACATACATATACATAATGCAGGCAAAATGTTTGTCGTTAGTCATTATCCCAGGAGCCAAAATTTGTGCAGAGTTGGTCTTTAAAGCCTTTAAGAACTGCATACACTAACTAAACTGCAGGCTGCTTTGAGAGAATAAAGCCAGTTACAAATATTATGTCATGTGTAGGCTGTATTTTAGCACAGCTCCTGATGACAAGCAAATCTCTTCTAACTAAGCAGTACTTATGAAATTAACATGTGCAAATATGTATTTGTATGAATACTTATCAGGTCAAAGACGTGACTGGAGAAGTAGGTAAAACTCACTAGTAGAATTAACTGTATCTAGTCCACCATGAACACTACTGGTACTATACGGAAGTGAAACTCAGCAACAGGACAGTCAGATCACAACTAATTTCTTAAGTAGCCCAAAGATGATCAAAGAGGTCAAACACAACATTCCAGACACTTTGATAGACTCACATTTGGTCTTTCAATACAGAAGAGGGTTTTGGGGAGGGGATCCAAGTTGAATTTCACCATCCTGTGGGACAGCATAAAGGGTGAGTAAGTAAGGATTGGAAAATTCATTTGAATTACCTTGTTGTTTAAAAAATAATTTTACTGAAGATTATATAAAACAGATAAAACTAATACAAAAAGCAAATACAAAAATAAATTTTAAAAATGTAAGACAGTGCAAAGAAACTGCCCACCACCAAAAAGAAAGAAAAAAAAAACAGTAAGAATTTGAATTACCTTGTGACTCTGCCCACAGTACAAATTTAAGAGGAAGGGGGAAATAAGTACCAGTCTAATAGCTGCAGAATAGTAAAACTCTTACAGCCTTTGAATGTGAAAAATTAAAAAAAGAGCCTTGTTACTTTAAAGGGACCATCAACATCTCAGTTTCATATCTGAACTTTGGCAGTTTATAAATTTCAGAAAATATTGATCTGAAAAACTGATGGATGAGAACATGAACATCTTTAAAAGTGTATTTCTTCAACATCTAAACTTCTCCTACCCCAAGAAGATAAATAAGTATGACATAATCTCTGTAAAGCTAGAAATTTCCTAAGAATAAGAATGCAGACAAAGCATCTACAAATCATAAAACTAGTACAAGGTATAGAGAATGGTTTAACCAATGGCCTTCTTCACTGAGAGAATACAGTCAAACTATGCAATTTATTACCATAAAGTATGATAATCCCCAACTTTGGCAACTACAAAAGGGGCTGAATAAATTCAGGGAGGAAAAGGTTATCAATGCTATTGAGCCATAAATAGAGTTGGAAATCATGGGGAGTTCTCTTGAAACATTTTTGTTTTGTGAACTGAATAAATTAAGAAAAGTTACTAATATTTTAAAATTATACATTACAATATTAAGAAAAGTGCTTTTACATTACTATCCAGCCTTTACTACCCAAAATAATTTCTGAAACTATACAACAGAAATGTTTTATGTAAATCTATTTATATATAGACTCTTTACAATTCATATATATCCTATATAATCATCTATCTATCCTATAGGATAGTGTTTCTCAACCATGGCAACTTGAAGATGTGTGGACTTCAACTCCCAGAATTCTTCACATTGCCAAGGTTGAGAAACACTGCTATAGGAACTTGAATGTCAATATACTGCCTATACTCCAAGTTGGCAGGAGATAAATATAGAATATTGGTTTGACAAGTAGTCACTAGATTTGAGATCCTAGCTTGCATAGAACAGCATGAAGATGTTTGGGGTAAGACTAAACTTTGGTTGCACTTGTGGCATACAAACCAAAATGTGCCAAATGTGACCAGTACTATCCTTACCATTAGCAGGGATAATTCATGTCACACACTGATAAATGGGAAAATTAAAAGTGAATTCTGGAGAAAACTGCAACTTTCTATATTAATGTGACCAAGGAAAAGAGATTATTCTGCCAGAAAACATGAATGGAAGGGTGGGAACAAGATAAGAGGGTACAGAAAAAATGACAGGGTAATTCAAAGAGATAAGAATGAATGTGAATGGTGAATATGTGCTTAAAAAGAGGTCTGTTTATTCTGAATATGTGACTTAAGCATGACTGTTTAAATGTATAAATGCAAAGAACTGAATATAAACCTAAAAGCATAACTGATCTGTTTATGGTGAAAATTTTAGAGAATTAGTGAAAGATGAAAAGTTGATAAAAGGTTATGAATCTGGAACAGACTGTTTTATTTATTAAGTTTGATAGTGTCAACAGTGATTTGGGAGGAAAATGTACAGAGAAGAAAAGAAGTGAAAGTAGAACCAAAAAAAGGTCTTGTAAGAAAAAATGTTAGAAGATAGATCAGATTTCCACCAAAATGAATGGAAAAGGGATGTAAGGAAAGAGGATGTGGAAGCTGCTAAGAACAGAATGAAAAGAATTATGGAGTTAATTTAATGGGAAGTATAATGGATGCCTAGTAAAATGATGAAGAGAAAGAGGCTGTGGATGAGAAAAAAGGCATATAGCAAAATGATTATTGCAAAAATCAGGAAGGGAGAAATATATAATTTGTATAAAGAGGAAAAAGAAAGTTGCAAAGAACGTGGTCAAAATGTGCAAAAAAAAAGAAGCAGAGAAAGTGCAGAGCTATTTTGATGGAAATAAACAATTGTACTAAAGTGGTGAAAAGTGTTAACCAGTAAGCCTCCAACAGAGTGAATACTATTAAAAATAAAAGTGATGAAATGATCTGAAATGAAACTAAAATAAAGAAATGCTGGAAAGCATATTTACATAATGGTATGAATGCAGTAAATATCAGTAACAAAAATGGTGAAAAATAAGTAATAAATGCTGTAAAAATGTTAAACTTTTTAACAGGCTGTAGATGGTGTTACTGGATAATTGTTAAATATAGAAGTGATTTGCTTATAAAGTGCTCTGTGATTTATTAGTGTGAATATTGCAACTATGCCTGAACAGGAATGCAAAGACAGTTAAGAGCAAATACAAGGAAAGGGAAAAGTAGCAAAAGCAAATGCAAAAAGTATAGTTTTGTAAGTGTGCCTGGGAAGATGTTTGGTAGAATTCTTACTGAAGGGGTCCAAGAGATGCCAATGAATAAAACCTGGGAAATACAGTCCAGGTCTTTGCTCAGGTTATTGAGAAATGTATCAGTGTGAGAAAGATCATTGTAAACTTGTTGATTTAAAGAAACTTTCATAAAATTAAGAGGCTTGAATTAATGTTTGCACAAATATATTGTTGAAATAGGTTGCTTAATATGGTAAGAGTGATATATGATACAAGTAAAGCATGAGTGAGAATAAATGGAATGCTTAAATAATGGTAAAACATTACAAAGAAGTAAGACAAGGATGTGTGATGTCCCTGTGACAACTTGCAGTCACTATGGCTTTGTTGCTGACTGGTCATGTATAGACACATTTGGAAGAGGTGTTGGGAGGAGGGAGAGTACCCCAAGCAAACTCTGTTCTAACTATGACTTTGCTGATAATGTGCTGGCAATAGGAGGTAGTTTAGCTTCTCATAGGACATAGTTCTCACAGGAGAAGGAAGGGCAGATATGAGTTGGCAAAAAGGGGTAAATCTTTTTTAAAAATGACACATTAAGATTGGAGATGATTCTGGAGTGAAAAAGCTGAGTAATGAAGGCTCTGGCTAATATGATTAAAGAGTTCCAGTTGCTATGGAAAATGAATTGTTGGTTTCTATCCAGAGAAAAGTTAATTGATAAACCTAAAATGGACTGAACAGTTTACACCAATGATTTAGGGGTCCTGGGTGAGACCAAGAGAAGACTCAGCAAAGCATTCAAAGGTATGATCCAGGGGAAGAAGAATGCCGAACCATGTACCATGGAACATTCTTCTGTAATGCCATGGGCCAGAAGCCAGATAGAAGAACAGAAGATTTGTCTGAGGATCACCAACCAAACCCAAGTTCACATATCAGTTCTGTGGACTGTGAGGGATGATAAATGGCCAATTAATGTTATAAGCCCTTTCTTTAAACTTAGATGGATAAATAAGAGTAGTCCTAGTAATTAACATTTACTTTCATAAACAAAGGAAGGCCTTGAGCCACCTTTGCTCAGGAGTTTGCTTCCCATTATTAATTTTAGAGGCTGGAATGTTCCTGTCCCCTACTGCACCTCAAAGCACTGAGAATGGAATAAATACTGAAAGCAACATTTATTTATTTGCATGTGTAAATGGTGCAAAAAGGTAAGTGTGTATTTCCATTTTCTCTCAAAGTTCATTTTTTTAAAAAGCAGAAATGACGTGTTTATGTTATTCTAAAATTCCTAGAATGTTGTGATCCAGTCATGACTGTTGTATAATTACTTTTAGTATCAGAATCAGTATACCACTCAATACCAGTTGCTAAGAAATATGAACAGGAAAGCACCACTCCTATCCTTGGTAGGCTTTCAGGAACAAGACTAGAGCTCAGATGCAAAACAGCTATTCACAAAAATCTTATTCCCAATAAGGGCATGGATTCCAGTTACTGTGCCCAATTTTCTTCTCAGAGCATCTGCTTATGAACTATTAATCAACCTGAAACAAATTTGAGATGCTGGATGTATTTCCTAACACTTGAGCTTCACAGAAGTTGTGAAATGCTGCTCAGAGCTGGTTGAGATGGAGCAGCATAGAAATACTAGTAATAAATATTTTAAACAACACCATCTAGGTTAATTTGGCTCCAGTTTATATTAAAATTAATCACTGGAAGAATATGGAAATTTAAGGAACTTCACAACTCCCCTTACTTACCTGATTCACTGTGGTTCCTTATGAAACAATATATAATCATGGAATTTGAAAATGAAATTAGTATTTTGGGGATAAGAGACACATGTGATTATGCCATACTTATCTTACCATATTGAACTGTATTTATATTAAGAAGCCAATATAATAATGTTTATTTTCTGATGCACATGGAGATGCTACATAAACATACCTTGTAATAAAGCAGTTTAAAAAAATCTTTCAAAAACAAAATACTTTTTAAAATAAAACTTAGTTACCAGTTGGGCAGATACAAGGTATCTGGAATATTTCAGCATCCACATAATTCCATAAGCATTCATATGTGTGGAAAAATTATTTATTTTTTAAAAATGAACAAAAAATCTGGGTAGCTTCAAAAAGCAAAACTTGCCTAATAAAAATGGGAAGGCCCATTTATTTGTTTGTTTATACACACCCACACCCAACCACACAAACTAGTTGGCCAATGGCTTTTAATTTCATGAATCTTATTTACATAAGTATGCATTTAGAATATAATTTTCCACAATTAAGCAAAGAACATTTGCTTTTTCTAATCAGGACATCTGGTTATTTTTGTTAATCCAGACAGCTGTATTAGGCAGAGCTGTTTCATAATATTTCCTAACAAGAGGTTAGATTGCAGCTATAAAAATTTAAAGGACATTAAGGAATGTCAACTTTCAAAATGAAATCTTCTTTTAGAATCTTCTTCATATAGTTACCTCCATTTACTTTCTAGCTTTTTACGTTTTTAGCAGAAGGGCATAATATTCTATTTACCAGTACATGTTTAAAAGCACGTGATAGGTAAAGTAAAAGGCCAAAATCTAGTTTCAACTATTGTTGGTAAAAATGCAAATACCTAAAGCCCAATTTGCAGCTTAGTGTAAACTTGGAACAGTAGCAATACAACAACAACCATAACAATGAAGCAAAACATATACAATTCGAACTATTTTCATTCATTTGATCTTCTGTCATTCTTCTGCATAACAAAACAGTATTTTTAAAATACTAGATTCTAGCATATAGAAGAATAAAATTTAAAAATGAAATGCAATGACTTTTCTGACTACTGGTAAAGACTCACACAAGTTGCTTTTCTGGAGCTTCTTGGATAGTAGAAAGTGGGGTTAAGAATCCATAATGCAATGCCAAGAGACAGTCAAAAACATTTTTCTAGAAGAGGCAATAAGATTCAAGAGTCCTGAGGAAACTTAACAAAAACTTTGTATTAACGTTCTGTAGTCACAGGTTCATGGTTTGCTCGTTTCATTTGTGTCATATTTACAAATACTACTTAAGTTTGGTATCTATTATATGACCTTAGATCTGATTATCTCTTAAAAGAACTGAACCCTCATTTTTTTCAACTCTGCTCATATAATCATAGTTCACAGATAATGGTAGTTCATATGATAATTTATCTCTAGCTCAATATAGTATGTAAATCCACCCACTGTGGTTTACAAAACAAAGTGGACAGATTTGCACATCATGCTAAGCAAAAACAAACTATATTATGTCTTTCTATTACATGTGGACCAGATGTCCCTATCTTTAAATTCCCGTGATCATGGAACAAATGCCAAATGCTCAACACAGATCTGATGCCTTATGTCCCAATATTACTCCCCACACATGTAAGATCATCTTCAGAAGTAAGTACAAAATTAAATAGGCACCAGTAGATATGAAATGTACATAACTGTAGAACTAAGTAATAGAATCATCTAAACTTCATGATCCAAGATCAGGTACCTATTCCAATTTGTTCATAATTCAATATTACTCCTGCTCCAATTTTCTTATGGACTGTTATTGCAAATAAACTACTTTTGGGGGAGCTTTACTATTCAGATCACTATATTGCAAGTTCCTTTGGAATGGTTCCTGGCTATCCCACTATTTCAATCCTATTTGGTATAAAACAGTTGAATCACAGTGGAAGCTGAAGTCTGAAACGCTACCCCAATTAGCAAGACAATACAACATAGCTTTGAAGTATAGCTCTCATTTTTCTTCTCAATTTGAGATCCTCCAAATAGTGTGATAGACTTGTGGGCATCTGAGCCCTCTTCCCATTCATTTCTTTTCCTACTAAGCAATATTCTCTTTTTCCTGTGTGAAGTTTACAAATTTCAGGCCATTATCAACCATCACTGAATTATTAAATACATTTTTGTTGCTTACAGGTATGACTGTCAGTAAGCAGAAAGAGTACCAGAAAGTAATGTGCTAGAGACTACTATTATAAAGTAGTCCATATACTACTGTTCAACTACAAAATAGAATCCTTACTGAGTTCTTGAGAATATCTACTAAGACAAGGTTTCATGTATATCCATCAAAAAACACTAAGAAATTTAAAATATTGTGACAAATACAGTGGTACCTCGGTTCACGAACTTAATTCGTTCCTTGACTCTGGCGGCGCCCGGATTGGGCGGTGACCCGAATCAAATTTTCCCATAAGGTTCAATGTAAATACGGTTAATCCGTTCTG